CAATGAAACATTATCAAACACAACCTAATATGAATTATATTGTGTTTAATACTACAATGATTGCTGTATTACCAATGAATACATCAGATTTATTCCGTCATCTAGTTCATTCATTATTAGTTACACATGCTGAAACAAAATTAAATACATTAGGTCATATTTTTTCGTATCCATATCATGCTCCTATTAATCAAGGTGTTTGGTGTGCAAATCTTCGTCGTCCTGCTCCTCCTTCTCATCATTAATTATCATATCCATATTCAAGAAATTAAATTATATATGAACTCATATAAACAATAAGTATTTATTTCAGTAATTTGAATAGCAATGCATATTTCGTTTTTATTATTTTCTTTGTCTTTCGCTTGTCATGTTGTAATTGTCGTGAGTAAAACACTATAGCATGAAGTGTTTAATATTCATTAATGTTTTTATTATCTAATAGTTTTTCTTCTTTATTTCTAGATACATTCGTATACGTCACTCAAAAACAGAAAAGAAAATGAATACAACAATGATAAATTTCTTTATCTTAATATCTTTTATTATTATTTCATTGAATAGTTCATTAACAAAAGGTATGCCAATCGTCGATTATACTGATGAACACCAAACATTATCATGTCAACGAACAATGACATTAAAGCAAATAGTCATATTATTAACGAAACAACCATGTGCTCAAATCATTGGAAAAGAAGATCAACGACAACTGAATAAGCGCAATACAGATGCTGGTAATGTTGATATACATGCCTTGCAAACAACTATTAATGATCATCGTACAATGATCAATTATTTAATTAATAATTCCATCAATGCAACATATGTATCGGATGCTATTACCAATCATCATTCAAAAACTGGTCCAATTTTAAGTAGTTGGCGAGACATTATTGATTTGTGTACAGTTACATTATTTGTTGGTTTCATAATCTATTATTGTATCTGTCGCACGGGCTGTACCACATGTGATAAAGTATTATCGTATTGTTGCAAACCAATCATTACTCGTATACGTGAACAAGAACAACCACCACATACTATCGTCAACCAGAAAACTCCTCGAAAAATGCGACAACGACAACGAGCACATTCACCAATGGCGTCTATTGAAAATGACATTAGCCAATATCATCATGGATATATAACCGATTAACTACTGATCAACATCATCATCGTGAAAAAAAAACATGAATTTCCTATGAGACTAATCATATTTTAATCGTATATTTATCATAATGCATGTTAAATCTGAATCAATCTGAGATGCTTTCATTATCCATCTTTTTCATTTTATCTACTAAGTATTCCTATTCTTTTTCTTTTCAATTTTAGATAGTATATAGATCTACAAAATGGT